ACATATGATTTCCCTATTATGGTAAATCTCCCTCTCATTTACCCTTTTCTACACTAAAATACCCGTAACAATCATCTGTTTTATATTGCAGACAGGTTTTGAGGAAGCATTGGTTTATTATGATTGAACTACACACATAATAAAACAAGAAGATTAATTTTAACATAAATAATCTACGTATTAATTTTAATTTCACTAGAAGTTTTGTTGTTATATAGATAATCTTGGGTTAACATTTATGCTTTATGCTTTTGAATTTTTATGGATTGTTTTAAATACAATTTCAGTTCAGGTAATGTAACTATACATTATTAAATTAGTTAATATCGTGGTGAACTGGTTTCACAATTCTAAAGCGATTCTTCACTTCTTATTTAGTTATTATTTAAATACCGTCGGCAATGGGAACTTTGTCAAGGTCTCTAGCGGAGCCCTAAGGTCAGATCAGGATGAAAACCATTGGGTTATCCTGTGTATGCCTGAATAATCAGTGTACACCATCAGAGTAGGCCTACTTTGCCTTTAATATGTACCTATTAGGTTATGATGAACAACGGAGTCATTTCATTAAACTTGTTTTATTATACCATACATTATTTGCTATAATTTTCTTTTACTGAGGATAAACTAACATAACAAATTGATCATACTATTTGAATGAACGAGTTATGTTTAAAGATACACAAAAATTAAACTATTTGTATGAAACAGCTATATTTAAGTTTTTGCATTTTTTCATTGTTTACCAATTGTATAAATATTTCAAATCCCTAATAATAAAAGCCCAATATGCCTGAGTACACACCAAATAGAAAACAAAACTCGTAAAAATATACAAATATAATTTTATTTATAAAACATATATTAAACTACAAAATGAACACAATGATGTAAATTTAACAAAAGTTAGATGTAATGTGAACGTTAACAAAGTACTGGAAACGTTCCATTACATCATTCACTCTCATAACTGGAAAGTAGATGTTCACCATCATCTTCGCTTAGCCACCAGAGTCAGTGTCACCTGCAGATTTATGAATGGTTCCATAATTTCGTCACGCAGTCCTTCTTTTAAAAAATCTTCTTCCTGGATATTTTCAGCATGAATTACTCATTGCTTCCAGTCTTCTACTGTTATGGTTCATGACATTTTCAAGAAGGTTCCTGACATCCTTTATTTTGAAAGACGTGTTATTTCGCGCTACCTCCCCTTTCAATTGAGCCCAAATTAGCTCTATGGGATTGTATTGACAATGGTAGGGGGTAGGCGAACAACCTCAGACCCATCTGCAACGCAAGTTCATCCACACTATCATCCAGTTCATCCAGTTCGTGCTGTGGAGGAAAATCTTGCCTGTGCTGCCGCACGGTGGTAAGGAGTTCTGCTACTGTGTGGACTGGATTGTGTTCAATACCGTTATCTGATAGCCACTTCACAATGTCTGTCTTTCTAGATTTTGAACTTGGAATTTTGTTAAGTCGTTTCGAATGGTAGCTGGCATTATCCATTGCAATAATCTTTTGATATATTTTCTATATTACAATCTTCGGAGTCCATATTATGTGCTGCAATGCATTTGTTTCCTTCTCCAGTTAAGTTTTGCACTGTTTTGGCTATTTCTAATTAACACTAATCAATTAAACCCAGACTGAATAATATTAAACTGCACAAAACATCATCATAATAATCACAATGTTGTTTACTACTAAAATGTAAACAAAGTGACACATGTTGTAAAATTATGAACAGTATGAATCAGCTGTAGGCTAATATGTGGTGGTGGCAGGGGCCAGGGAGAAAACAGGGGAAAACAAATTTGTCCTTCAACCGCACATTAAATTCAGACAGAGTATAACAGCTATTTTATTTTGTTTATACTCGATTAAGATATTTAATTTAGTATAAAACTACAAAGAAGCTTAACGAATTTAGGATTGATTTTGTTAAACTTACAAAACTTTTACAAAATTTAATTAGAACAAAAAATATCCCAGAAAACTTAAATGCACTCAATTTTAAGAGACACACATTACAATATTGTAATAACAGTTATTCGGTATTAGATATATTTTACAGAATGAAGATAACATTTTTGTCGTAATACCTTGGTCATGCAAGTTACTACAAACTAAAATAAACTATTGTTAGCTTTTAACATTTGGACACTATATTGAACGTTTACTTACCCGGTAAAGTTAAATGAAGTTGAATTTAAGAGAAAAACACTGAAATAAGGCAGAGTTACTGTTTTACCTTTCTTCTTAATGCTAGAAAGGGTCGGTTTATGTATATTGGTGGTGTATACCCCTCTGTGATCCTACCCCCAATGGTTTACAAGAAAACTCAATTTCCAAGCCATGGAATTCCTCTGTTACGTAAGATTTTGTCAAAACAATGTTTATGTATTCCGTATAATACTATCTGCCTACATTCTTACCCTCCTTTCTTTTTCTTCTGCATAAAAGGTTTATTTCTTACGTATTCCATTTTTTTTGTAGAATATTTTACAAGCTTGAGTGTTTAGGGACCTTAATTATACTTCTTTAACGTTCTGTAGTTTCCTCTGAGGTTATTTAGCTCAAGTAGGTTATGGCTCTCAAGTTAATACAAACGCTTTTAATTGTAATACGCTTAATCTGCCAGATATGTCGAATTTTCTCTGTAGGACTTAAAATTACTGGTTATTCACAATTAGTTTAACATGTAGGGCAGGTGTGGCCCATAGTTATAATTGCCGGTGAGGATAGTTGGGCCAAAATATTGAAACAAAACCATTTAGGTCCCTAAACCACAATTTTAAAACTATTAACTAAATAATAGACTAAATACTAAACAATAATATACCAAATATTTTCTAAAATGTATAATATAAACACTTTTCAAACTATGATCTTACAGAATAATTTTATGAAACCATTTATTTTGCAATACTAGGCATCTAGACTTTTCCCAAACAGGGTGTTTCTAATATACGAGTAGTTTGAGATTCCATAACCAAATTTATAAAGATTTTCCCAAATTTAGTTATTTTTCCTAATTGAGCTTTCAAATATTTTTAGAAATTTTAGATTTTTCTAATAAAATCTTGGTGTTATATAGCAAGTTTCTTGAAATCTTTAAACAGCTGCCATATTTGACTCGATTTTCGTTTAAGTTAGGGTTTGCTGTGTTCTATTCCACTAATATCTTTAATTCGGTGTGCATGTCAACTATATTTACTTTTTAGGGTATAATTAAAAAAAAACCTCTTTGAACAGCTGCCATTTTTGTCGTGGCCTGTATTGTATTGTACGCGTCATTGTATTCTTCTAATAAGGACCAAAGTATCGATTTGTATGTCAACCTATGCTTAATGTTCTACTGGGCAGTACCCTGAGAAGATAGCGTATCACTGAATAATGTGTAGTTATACTTTATCTACTCAGTAACTTTGATTCAAGTTTTATTATTTTCCAAAATATTTATACGTCCCAAAACCTTTTTGCCACCTTGTATAATTTAAAGAGTGATTTTAAATCCTCAATTATTCGCTATTTAAACTTAACACAGAAAAAGCTACTGACCAACAATTGGTTCTAGAGACTAATAGTAATGTACATTTTATTTATTTAAGCAATATTCAATAGAACAAATCTATTATTTAAAAATAGAAAACTGGATAATAAAAGTAGGATACGTAACATACTGTATTAGGCACGTAGCACATACAAAATGTTAGATACTACATTTTGTAGAGTAGAAATAAACCCTTTGTAGATTCAACATCAACAAAGTTAATTTCATCAGAGTATTGGTAAACCATTAGTGAGGAAGGATTACTACAAAGCTCGAACTTAGCAATTAGTTTTACTCAAACTTTAGATGCTACGGAATTGACGGTATGCCATTCTTGATTAAACAAGCAAAGTGAAAATGGGTATTACTAGTTATTCAAGTGTCATAAACAGTTTTTTTTTTTTGTAACTATAAATTATAATGAGACGATTTGTAGCTACACGGATTATCGTGGGTTTACTTAATACCCTGAATGTACTAATAATAAAAAAAAACAAATAACTTAAAGTGTAGACTATTTCTAGAAGAAAACTGCTTTTTTGAAATTCATTTACCTCATAATTCTCAGATACAATAAAAACTGTTCACCATGAAATCAGAAACAATTAGTAACAAACAAAGCCATAATAAGTTCAATTTGTTCAAAAATGTATTGAATTATTTTTTTAAATTTTATTTGTAAACATGTATTTGTTTATAATCACCTATGAGTCCAGTTTAGTGTGTAACATAATATTTGCTTTGAAAAGAATAACGAATAGCTCACTTAATACAGAAATAAGACAAAGAAGACATGTCACTTGGCATTATTGGACATCAGTAGACAAAAGGAGGAGCAAATTCTGGCAAAGTTTTCTTGAAAACAAAAGACCCAACATTTTATCAATTACATACTGAAAACCGCTTTTAAACAACTCTCCTGATTTTATATACACTCTCAAAATAACAGGAACTATCTATAGCTTTTACCTTTTTGTATGTCTTGAACTGTGATTCAATTTAATATCAAACATTTAAGTATTTTACTATTTTGATTCTTAATAAACATCTTTTAATTCAAACCCTCGAGTTCCGACATTATTACAAAACCAAAAGCAATTAATAATTGGTAGGATTTAGAGGAAAGAAGAGGCATTAGAAAAAAAGTTCCAAAATGTGAATACTGTTAATTCATACAATAAGAAGACACATATTTCAGAAGAAGATTTAAAACAATTCGACTCAATAGTATATTTAATTGCAAATGAAAACAAGACTGTTCAAACCTATTGAACTTAGCACTACATTTAATTTAAGTGTATGCACCATTAGTTGATGAACATTACATAGTAATGACTTTATAACGGTAACCATATTGGAACAAACGACAACTGAAGGGTCATTAAGTAAATTATGTTCAATTGTTTATTCGCTACGCATACAGTTAGAGATAAAGATTATTGATCAGTATAGTTATATTATTCAGTATAGTTATAGAGTGCGTGAACTAGGATGAAGTTAATATTATTGTTACTAAGTGGTAAGAATTCTGCTTAAAGTTATTATTGTCGTCAAATTTATTTAGCTTCAATTAACCACGCTTTCATCGATTACTAATTAAATAGCTCTTAGTTTAGAGTGCTCGCCTGGTAATCTAATGTTCACTGGTTCGATCCTCAGAAAGGTGTATAGCCTTTTGATGGTTAAATCTGTACCAGTTGTCCTTGAATAGGCTTTTAAGAGTCCTGACTAATGAAACATCAGGTCTTAGTCATAAAGCTACCCATGGCATCACCCTCCATTCCTTTGGGTTAATATACGCACATAGGAGGCGTCACCATCTCAAATGATATCTAAATATTATTAGTATATAGCAATATAATAGTTATTTCATACCTTACTTAGTATATAATTATTATAGTATAATTGCTTGTATATTGAATGAATGAATGATTTTACCTGACCAAAAATATCGAGGGCAGTTTCTCGATGTTAAGGTTTCAAAGGGTTTGGTTAGGACGCATCAATTAACACACAGACACTTCTGACAGTACTTTATCGGAAAATTAGCTTTTACAGCACACATAACTGTTATATGTGTCATCTCTTTGGGTGAATTTGGCAGGGTCCCACCAAATGGATCGTTTCTTGAAGCAATGATAAAATTGTAGCGTACTAGGCCCACATGATCTAGTTTTTAATTAATATATTTTTATGTATTGGGTTGTAAAAATTTGTGTAAATGCCAAAAGCAGGTAAAGATAATCTCCTCTTGAAAATGATTGATATATTTTAATATAATATACTTTAAAAAAACTTGACTTCATTTTAAATTTATAAATTCCTTTTTAATCATGAGCCCCAAAAAAATAAAATGTATTAGAATCTTTGTGAATGAGATTTAATCAAAATCTGAAAAAGAGAGGACATCTGTTATCATATCTAAAATAAAACTAACTAAATTTAAAATTGTTAAAAGACTTACCCAAAACGTGGGGTAACTGATTAAGTGAACTAACAAACTAATACTTTACTTTACAACTGGTTTAGCACAACTGAGCCCGGACAAGAAAGGTGATTAAGTTTTGTCTGACCAAGGTAACCCTGTGATTGGCTGAAGACTATGTGCTTCAAACAATCACTGAGTTACCCTGGCCAATCAAATTGTCGTCTCTTTTCCTAACAGGATCTTGCAAACTATTTAAATTTCTGGTTTAACTGACAAAATTGAACTAACATGTTTAGAATATTTCATGATTGAGCAGAGCTAAAAAGGGAAAATACTAACTTGAATTTGTTTATAAAGTGTGACCAAAAAAATACAAAATATAAAATGCTACAAAATAAACGTTTAATTATGATTAATTCTGAAGAAATTTTAAAAGCATGTATCAATATAAGTGTGAAAATGATTGATATATTTTAATATAATATACTTTAAAAAAACTTGACTTCTTTTTAAATTTATAAATTCCTTTTTAATCATGAGCCCTAAAAAAAAGTTAAATGTATTAGAATCTTTGTGAATGAGATTTTATCAAAATAGAGAGGACATCTGTTATCATATCAAAAATAAAACTAACTAAATTTAAAATTTTTAAAAGACTTACTCAAAACGTGGGGTAACTGACCAAGTGAACTAACAAACTAATACTTTACTTTACAACTGGTTTAGCACAACTGAGCCCGGACGAGAAGGGTGATAAGTTTTGTCTGACCAAGGTAACCCTGTGATTGGCTGAAGACCATGTGCTTCAAACAATGACTGACTTACCCTGGCCAATCAAATTGTCTTCTCTTTTCCTTACAGGATCTTGCAAAATATTTAAATTTATGGTTTAACTGACAAAACTGAACTAACATGTTTAGAAAATTTCATGATTGAGCAGAGCTAAAAAGGGAAAATACTAACTTGAATTTGTTTATAAAGTGTGAAAAAATATAAAATGCTACAAAAAAAAAAACGTTTAATTATGATTAATTCTGAAGAAATTTTAAAAGCATGTATCAAGTAAGTGTACAAAGTAGTTATGTTGCCATATGAAATGGGGCTTATATAATATCTCACCTGTTAATGGAATCAGAATTCAGATTCTGACACGTCATTTAAATGAATTTTTCCTCATAATGCTGGAAACATATATAGGTTAGTAGTTAAATCTTTGTTAACTTCTCTATAGTTTGATGTGTGATTTATAAGTGCTAATTCAATGTAAAAAACGTTAAAAATCTTAAGACACCAAAAAAAGAACGCAAAAAATTACTTAAAATATTCAGATACTAGTAAATATTATTAAAGTAACAAATAAAAGACTTTTATGTTATATCACATTCAGGGTGCATACAGCTTATACAGTTCATGTGTCACACTATGCATAACCCCTCTGACATTAGGTTGACGGGTGTTTGACATGTTCTGTCATATTTGATATTTTCAGTCTGCTGGGTTTCCCTCGCTTCTTGGAGCCCTGTGTTCCGCAACCCCATCCACCCCAGCACCCCCATGCAATGGCTGGACCCCTGTAGCTGCGTACCTAACTGTACCAACCCCACACCATCCCCTTGGTTAGAGGTGGGGAACAGGGAGTTGACCGAGGAAAACCTCATCATTTGGCTCGTTGACCTGCAATACTTCGCTGACGAGGCACGAAATTATTACGAACTTTTCCGCAATAAATTTGTAAGTATGGTTTGTATTGCTGATACCAAAGGAATAAACCTTTTCCCTTTCTTTGACGTTGAAAATAATCATGAAACACTTATCTGTGGTATTCGGTGTAAAAACACTTTCTATAATAATATTGTAACCGCTAAATTCAAAAAATCAAAAGCAACTTTATTTACTTTACAACCAAAAAATTAAATCCTTTACATTTTGTAAAAAGTATATGTATATTCAGTGGAAAGTAAAAAATTGAATTTCTATTGGACACATCAATCAATCTAATATCAAACAGACTTAAAATATGTACTCTATACAATGGTATTTAAAAATAAATAATTATAAACAATTATAATTAAATAATGGAGGACAAAAGTCAGATATACAGAAAATTTTTATAGGGAACATACGGAAAGAAATATAGCCTATACTTCTAATAAAGTGTTGGATGATAATGGTATTTCTTGGCCTAGTGAGCACTGATTTAAGAGGGTTATACCCGGTCAATTCAAGATGGTGGCTAAACATGCTAATTTTAAATACCCCCGTCACAGCAAACCTGCATACTAAGCGAATTTCCATTTACCCGGCTTGATTTCTACTAAAATATTCCCTATAAATTTTCAGATTTATTTCCTATTTAAATAACATTAATTTTAGTTAGTAGTTAGGTTTGCTGCTACAGGGAAGATGTTGAGGTGTGTTTTTTCAATTGTAGTATTGATAGCTTAGTATGAAATAAACAAAATTGCCAAATTTGATTAAAATATATCCATAAACAAGCAAACTAGAACAGTTTATTTATTCTCCATAAAAATAACATGAGAATTTTAAATTTACAATTTTTTTAATTTTCTCCGTAGTCAATGAACATTCAAAAACACGTCAATATACTAAATTATTTGTTTTTTTTAAGCTCTTCAAAATGGTCTAGAGAGAAATTTATAAATTTAAAGTTTTTAGGGTCAAAAATGAGAAAAACCCATTTTTACCCCATAAAACCCCCCATAAACACCTGATCCCATGGTCCGATTATGCTAGTTCGCGAACTCGTTTGAATAAATGTAGATTTACACGTTTGTACCAAATTTCATCAAAATCGGATCAATTTTTCTCGAGTTATCACGCTAACGGACACACACATATATATATATATATATATAAATATATATATATGTATATATATATATATATGAATTTGAAAGGATGGTGTTTTTGGCCTCTGGGGACCTCAAAACGAAAAAGTAAATCGGTCCTGGGTCTAGGTCTTACCATGAGACCTACGGTAATAGCTTATTCCCTATATGGGAAATTCGCTAAAAACATGCCCCTATGGTGCAAGCCCTCAACACTAACACTAATTTGTTTCCAATGCTTGTGTGCTTTTTGTGCTCTTAACATATCAGAGCTTGTAATATATGGGTAAACACAATAACACATAATCCTAGTCACCTATTGACCATCAAAATTATTTGGGTGTTAAATCAAAATAACTCACCAGCAAAAGCCCTTATCTCATTGCCAAAACTATATCGGTAGGCACCCTCAAACGTGTATTCCGTTGTATAAGACACATAAATAGCATTTTTGAGTCTTTACTGTCTTTATTGTTAAAATGTATATATTTTGAACAGGTCTAAACAGTTTTCATTCAAAATTAAATGAGTTCCTCAACATTAACAAACAATAAACATAAAATGTAAAGTTGTGAAATGCTGTTGTCATTATTTCCAGTTTTATACTACTAAATACAGTACAAATACCTAGTTTAATTCGTGTAGTCATAAGTCATAAGTCGTTTATTCAGCAAAATTAACATAAAATGCATTAGCTACGTCAACAAAACAAAATAAAATACAATATTTACATATTAGCGATATATTAGCGATTCAATATTAGCCGTTATTTTCGTTTGTTAGGTTCGAGATGTGTTTCAAGTTGATTACAAGACACACAAGAACGATTGGAGCAATCTTGAATATAACTGGCTGCCAAAACCACCAAAGAAATTGGGAGAACCAACCAACAGAGGGTTCTTGGAAAAACTCGAGGTAAAAGTTGTAAATTTTGCAAACTCAACTCCACAACATATGTTGGACCATATTAATGTACAACACGATTTAGAAAGAATATAAACTTGTGAATTGCCATTAAAACCGAAGTAATATACCAATAATTCGTTAGTCCATCATTTTTTTCTATGTTCATGTTTTTGAAACGGTGAAATGCTTAGTTTTGGTGAAATCAGGACTTTGCTTATTTACATACAAAACACTTATTCAAGCAGATTAAATACCAAATAGACTATGTTCCTGCAATTATTTGACTATAGTATTGGCCAAATACTACTCACCTGACATATAACGAATTTCAATATAGACACGAGTATGTATTTGGAACGAAATATTGTGTGAGAGTAACAGTTGTAGCATGTTTCAGCTGGACCAGTTCCTAAAAGATACAAAGAGATACCTGAAGATCTTAGCTGTGGGTTTGGAGCAAGTGGTGTGGGACAATACACTGGACGTTGTGTGAGAGTAACAGTTGCAGCATGTTTCAACTGGACCAGTCCCTAAAAAATACAAAGACATACCTGGAGATCTTAGGTGTGGGGTTGGAGGAAGTGGTGTGGGACCATAAACTGACGATATGTGAGAGTAACAGTTGCAGCATGTTTCAGCTGGACCAGTCCCTAAAAGGGGTCGCCGGAATTTTATCCCCCTGGAATTTTACCCCCTGGGCAGAGCTGACGTCACTATGACGTAGTAACCTGAGTGGCCAAAAGTTCGCGGCCGGAATTTTACCCCCGCGGATTTGGAAGTCTAATGAAAATAGCCAGAGCGTGATTAATTAGATTAGCGATAAAACCCGGAATTTTACCCCCTGTCCATATAACTAGCGCTTAGACAACTGAAGATGTACGGGCCGGAATTTTACCCCCGGATTTTTACCCCCCGGATTTTACCCCCGGATTTTTACCCCCCGGAATTTTACCCCCGGAATTTTACCCCCGGAATTTTACCCCCTGGCCGATTTTAGAAATTGAATTATTGGTTTTCTTATTTCTGTTTTTAATTAATTGTAAACATTTAATTATTTAGTAGCCTATCTTTATCTATTTTTTTTTTGTTGTTGTAAAGAAATGTTCGAAACAATTATCACTCAGTTGATTGTTTATACGTCATATTAACCAACTGTTGGCTTCAAAGATCGAATCTTAATACTAGAATCTCAAAATTGAAATTAAAAACCTGTTCGATTAGTTAATATTACAAATAAATTAATATAGGCTACTTCATAACAAAATGTTTACTATTAAATTAAAACAGAATGAAGATAATTAATCATTCTCACTAATTTATATATCTGGCCAGGGGGTAAAATTCCGGGGGTAAAATTCCGGGGGTAAAAATCCAGGGGGTAAAATTCCGGGGGTAAAATTCCGGGGGTAAAAATCCGGGGGGTAAAATTCCGGGGGTAAAAATCCGGGCCGTACACTCTAGGTTTTTATAATTTGATGTGTTCTGATTAAATTCACAACCGTGAAAATATATGTTTAATTCCGCGTTTAATCCATCGAGCTGATGTCGCGAAACTCAAAAGTTCGCGGCCGGAATTTTACCTTCTGGTTTGTGACGTCACGTTTGCCCAGGGGGTAAAATTCCAGGGGGATAAAAATCCGCTACCCCCCTAAAAGATACAAATAGATACCTGGAGATCTTAGCTGTGGGGTTGGAGCAAGTGGAGTGGGACCATACACTGGACGATATGTGAGAGTAACAGTTGCAACGTGTTTCAGCTGGACCAGTTCCTAAAAGATACAAAGAGATACCTGGAGATCTTAGCTGTGGGGTTGGAGCAAGTGGTGTGGGACAATAGACTGGACGAAGCAGAGGGAAATGTGCATTACAAAAAGGAGTTTTCAGAAATGTTTGACAGTAACAATCTGGTACGTCTGTAGCCTACACACGTCTACATACGTATACGTTTACTTCACGTTATTGCTACAAGATGGAAACATTTTAACTTCCAAGAAATCATAAGGTTAACATGGGAAACTCCAGAGCCACTGGGGCAAAGCCCTTTTGAGGGATCTGCACCAAACTTCACACAAACCATCCTTGAATAATGCTTAATAATGCCTAAAAGTTTCATTACAATCTGTTTGAGCGGTTCTGGAGTCCATAAAGGACAAACAAACAAACAAACATACATTGGATTATTTATATATATATATATATATATATATATATATATATATATATATATATATAGATGTGAAAGTTTGTGTGTTTGTTTGTTCGTTTGTAGGATTGTTTGTTTGAAGTTTAAACACGCATTAACTACTGGCCAGATTGAGTTGAAATTTGGTATGATGATAGCTCACATTTCTGATTAACATATAGACATATTGTTATCTAAAAAAACATTCGGGCACCACCCCAGTGGCTGTAGTGTTTTCCATGTTAATCTTATGTGCAAAAGGAATTAAAGAATTTCGCCAGCTGTTTCAACTACATATAACAAGCTGGTTCTATGATATTTAAAAGCATTAAAAGGTTATAAGGTTCAGCATTATAGTGCAGCACTGTTAATTGATTTTGCATTTAATAAAGGTAATTGGAACCAAGCAGCTCAAAAAGCAGCTAAAAAAAGAACTTTACTTTTTCTATTGTTTTGGTGCAGTGGCAGAAGATTATGGCTATGGTAGATGTGCCATAATATACCGTAAATTATAGTAAATCAAATTTTGTTTAAACGTGTCCTCTCCCATTTCAAACGCAAAGTACGAGTATATAACTGCAATAAGCATTTACTAATACGCTAACCCCGTACGAAGGACGGGTTCTCTGATAGTACTTTTTATATATCGGTTTTGAAGGTGTAAATGTTGATCTTTTGCTATAAACAACTGAGGTGGGCCTTTACCTTGGAAAATCCTTATTGATTAAGAGCTTCTACGTTGTAGGTTTAAGTAATGGTTTGTAGTCCAGAGTATTGAAAATTAATAGCTTAAATTTTTAAGATTTTGTTTGTTGGAATCTAAAATATTCTTTAAAGTTTTAAAGTTTTAGGGTATACGTAGTTGATAGTATTTTCACGATACACGGCTAAAGTTGTTTCTATAATAATTCCTTTGGGCAAATAAATACAGTGATACTGAAAATCAATGCATCAATTCTACCGTAAATTGTTTTATAAATAATACAAAAACATTCATCACAAGGCTAATAGAACTAACAACTATATCAATGACAAATATGGTATTTTTGCAGTTGCTGTGTGAAATCAGCGGCCTTTTGAATAGAAGAAAATTGGAACCATACCCAATGGTAAACAGAAGTATAATGGATCAAGAGTACAGAAACATTGAGAGTGAGATGCACAGATATGTACGTGACTGGATCGTATTCAGGGCTTACATGAATGTTGTAGAATACATTCTGGATGTGTCGAGTCATTTCTATGACATTACTGGTGCAGAGCTGCGCAAATAAAGAAATCAGCAATCAATAATCACAAGCTGGCCGAAGAAAAAAATGAAAAAAATTTCCCTCAAACGTTATACTCAAATACAAATTATTCAAATGAAAATGGTTTAAACACGACCGGTATGGTGGCGTCGTCCTATAATCCAGCTACTAGGAGGTCACGAATTGTGGATATTTAATAGTCAATGTTTATAGTCATGCACTGTGGATGCGATGCTCCCTGGTGAGGATTAACGTCCGCACTAGTGAGTACGACTATCCGCAGAGCTACCCTGATAATTAGACCAATTCGTTAATTACAAGTAAATTTGGTTCGGATTCCACCATAAACTGTAGGTCCCTTAGTTGCCATTGGCTGTAAGGGCTATTAACAGCTGTTTCTAAGGAATATGTCGGCCTTAGTCATTAACAAGACTACAAGATCTCGTCACTCATTCTACACTCATCCTTCACTCATATTTTGGTTAAAAAACGCACATAGTGGCGTCCCCATCTTAAATAATTGATTTAATTGATTTAACTAATTTAATTGATTGATTGTAGTGCTTTAGTTTATATCTACAGGTTTATGGTTTACGGGTACAGTAATGTTTGGACAAAGAAATGTTTGGGAAAGTAAAGGAAATTCATTGGTTTCGTAATCACTCTGGGGCAATGCTAAATATTTCTGTATCGAATATAGATCTTGTATCTGGAATCAGGGAAGAACGCATCAAAACGTTATAAAAATAATAAACAATCCTAGCTGGGAAAATATTAAACTACTCATAGTACTCAAGTTGTTTCTCCATGGAAATTATTTCTCCAGCTTTAGCTCGGTTTTTGTACTTTTCTAGAACTATTTTGGGAAATCTTTCTGAGCATAATTCTAGAGCCTTAAACGTTGTGAAAACTTCATTATTTGCGTTTCGAAATGAAAATGTTCACGGTTAGTAAATATCTCTCCATCACTAAAAATAAGTTGAAAGGTACAAAATTGAATGGTAAAAGGGTAGCGTAATAGTCATTTACAGTAAATGTGCAGTAAACAGACTTTTACGGGCAGATTAATAATGTAAACACTAATGTGATGTACAAAATAATTGTGAAGCTTCAAATCTTAATAGATACTGTTTTAAGTTATGTAAGAAAGTAAATATTAAAATATTAAAAAACTAAGAAGTAATCAATGTAGTTTAAACCAGGGTTGCCCTTTTCTGAAAATGAACAATTGTTCGGTTACCATAATAAATAACTAACAAAAGCCTTAAAACGTGCGAGCACATGTGCAGGCTTGTCTCAATAAACGTCAACATAAATCCTTAAAACCAACGCCACCTTATTGTATTAACGCCTTTATATTTTTCTCTTGTGAAGCCACTAAAACTTACTCATCCACTCTCAGTCCATCCAGTATAATGGAGTTTTCATTTACTTTTATTTCAACACATTGCTGGGAAGGTTTTTTATGTGTTTTTTTTTGTCTTGGGAGCTTTACAAAAGGGTAGTTCACACGGACTCAAAACCCATGTGGCTTACTGAACGGCATAAGTAAATGATACATAAATATACCACTAAATTTTAACGAGTAGGCCTATCTCAAGTCGATTGCAATTTTGGAAGCCCAAGTCAAAGTTATGAGGGAATACAGTATTGCCTGTAGAACTGGATTACTTAAACACCTTTCAAGATTTATAAACAACAGTTGCTAAAAGATTTACGGTGGTAAATTCAAAAACAAAATTGATTAAAATACATTATACTGTATTTATATATTTTTTAAATTAACAAAATTAAAAATCAGATCTTATTAAGGGAAAAATTTAAATATGAATGACAATTTGTCTTAGGAAGGCTGCAAGTTTATCAATCCGTCAATTGAAATTTTGAGATAATTTAGGAGCTCCAAAAGTTCCTTATTGTCTTCATTTATCATATTATAACATGTTTTAGGGGTTTCTACCTATAACTAACATCAACAATCCATATTTGTCTAAAAAAAGAATTCTTTTTGAAATTGATACGTTCATGTGAACTCTTATCTTGAAAAATTGATCATTTTATTTGTAACTCATTTATCCATGGTTCGAAACAAATATTCCAATTTTAAAAGTTTCAAAGATCACGTTGGAGTTTTAGCTAGGACAAAGTGGAGATGGATTTTTCAAAATGTTTGTACCTCTTAATCCTTTTTCAGAATTTATCTCTACTCTTTTTGATTATCAATACAAATTCTATTTTTCATAATGTTTAATAAATTAAGGGAACAGTTTGAAGGTATTTAATATGTATTCATCATTCTTTATACTTTTTCTTCAAACAGCACACCAAAAAATCCCTAAAGTTTTATACGTATAGTTTTAAATAACTTTTTGTTCAGGTAGTATAACCTTAGAAGAATGGTTAATTTAGACTACATTAAAGTGGACTAAATCAATGTGGTAAATTATGAATGCATAATTCTCCCTATATAAAAAATAACACTATTTTCCTAATCCTGTTGTACTACACAATTGTCTATTTATTTGCTCATTGTCTGAATGGAGACAAACCATTAATTTGAACTTCTGACAAAAGGTATTTTTGGTCAAATGACTTCTTGAAAGTATCTGACTTAATCAAAGTTCAAAACTTTGGAGAGAAGAGGGGACAACTCCAATACCTGTCGTTAAAAAACGACAGTTTACGACAGTATACGAGTGTTTTAAACTGTTTGACATCTTACCTGTTTGACATTTAATCGGTTTATTAGATTGAAAATTAAACTCTTTAATTATTTTGATTACTACTAATAATCATGTATGTTGAACATGGATCAAATTATGTTCTAAAAGATGATTAACAATATGTAAATACATTATTTGAAAGTATTAAAAGATACATATTGGAATAGATTTTTATAAATATTGGGCATCATTTTACAAGTATACTCGGGACCATAAAATCACCATAAATCCAGTATTGGTAATTTGACGAAAACTACTACTGTCCTTAAGAAATGCACAGAAATAGTATTACAATTAGATATTTTTCAATTGGTGTTGAAGTTGTTCACGTCATTTTGGTATTAATTGTGTAACTGAAATCCGTTCAGTGACAAAATAATTGAAATGGTAATAATTCAAATTAGAATTGCAATGTGGAAAGCGAGCTGGTCTATTGGTAGAGCGCGTACCTTAGGTCCCTGAAGTCTCGAGTTTAAATCCAGCCAAATGATCAATGGATTTTATCTAAGCGATAATGCTGCAAACCCTAGTTCTTGGCTGAAGTATTTTGAAAAACAATCCTGGGCTCCATAGGACATAAACAATTTTAAATTGAAATTGCAAAGTAGTCGGTTGGCTACAAATAAGAAACAAAGTAAAAACTGTTCATTATTATTCACCTAGCAAATTGCATACAAAGTAAGTCATGTTTTGGTTTAAGACCAAATTTATGCTTATGCTCAACAGATGTGTATCATGCCTCACCTCAGAGTCGCATACAAAACATCCGATAACATGGATGAAGTCAACTGGAGCGTCTAACATAGCAACAGGACTGAATGCATATTGTGACCGTTGTACAATAGACAAGGTTTATTTAAAATCAGTGACGGGCGAAATATCTAAATCCGATATTCCTAGAATAATTTATAACATTTTGTATACGATGGACGAAAGAATTATCCCCGTGTTTAAAAAGATAATATTTTAGCACGTTTGTTTTAAAACTTTAACAGTTGTATGTCAATCTCACAAATTCAAAAGAATTCCATACCTTGTTTCGGATTTTAGTGAAATACTCATACTTCGTCCTCGTTAAAAACATTTTATTATTATCTGCTAAATGTTCTATAAAATGTCTGTGTTCCTGGTTAATTTTTGTTATTGTAGTCATGTTAAAAAAGTTATTGTAGGCAGATTAAATGTCTGAAAAATGATTGTGAAAATATAATCATGTTGGTGATAACTTATATTAGAGATATTGACAATGCATAACGAAATGTATAACTAATTTAAAAGTCAAAAAGGCCAATATATAATAAATTGTTTTAATCACAAGCGCTTACTATATTTCCACCGTCAGGCTGTGTTTAAACTGTTACAAAAAGTAAATTTACAATAATTATATATACAATAATTATAATATACAATAATAATGACAATAATTAATTAAATTTAAGGTAAAGTTAAAATAGATGATGAAAAGGATAATGGAAAAATATACGAACAAAATTGTATTTTAAAATTTGGATATATTACAGTGTTGTTCATAAGTGTTGTAAAATAATGTAATTATTTTAGGTAATATCGAGTTAATAATTGGGCCGTTTTAATTATTTAAAAAATAATTTTGGTCTGTTTTTTTTATCATTCCCATGCTGTAATATATCCAAATTTCAAAATATTATTTTTTTAAATGTTTTTTTCCAATATCCTTTTTATTAGCTGTTTTAATTTTACTTTAAATGTATTAATTATTTTAAATATTTACTTTTTGTACCAGTTAAATCACAGCCTGACGAAGGAAACATAGTTTCCGAAAGCGCTTGTCATTAAAAACAATTTATTATATGTTGACTTTTTTGAACTTTTAATTTAGTTATACACATTATGTTGAGGATAACTGAAAAAAACTGTTTTGTAAAATAATCTTTTGCCTATTGAAAAATGTAAGTTAAAAATGTTATACATTTTTATTAGAATCTTAACTGTTTGAATGCACTTACTTTTCTAAGACAAATATTTTCATCCAAAGATGCTATAACTTATCTTTTTCTATTGGTACTGTAGCCCCAATACATGCGTAATTAAGTAGTATAAATTTAATCCCCATCAAGAAAAATGTTATACAAACATAACATCAATACAGTTTCATACCACAATGAATATCTAGTCTTACACTTAGTATTCAGTGTTGAAAATTCTGCTCGGTTTAGTATGATAATTTGCTGAATATATGGAAAAAAACTACACGGGTGGGTGAGCAATAAGTTATACGAACTTGACACATATAGCCTGGTCAAACTTAATTTTCTCAGACAATATATCATCATCTATAGTAGCATAA